AGCAGTAGTTTATACCCAATGAAAGATCCCCAAGTGAAAATGAAGTCACCAAACAGCTGTCACCCTTACTTTTCCCTAAGAAGGGTAAAGAATTGGGGGTCGGGCAGAGGAAGAAGCCTGGGGGAGAGTAATTTTTATGTTTCACTCGGTGCTGTCATTTAGTTTGAAATGTTTACCGGGCTAATGTAATTAACACCCCCCCCGCCCCCGTTTGCTGGCTTCTTTGTCTCTTTCTCCATTTCCACTCCTTCCAAGAAAATCCCATGTTTTCCTTTAGAATCCCTGTGTACTTCTCCATTCCAGCTACGCTCCTGGACAAATCTCCGGTCTGCTACCCCTTCCAGGGGCTAAAAAGGTAATTTCTGGTGGCAAGAGAGCAATTCTAAAATAGACTTCAGAGTGGAAGGCAAGAATCAGATTGGGAATTGTCAACGCTTTGTTTACTGACTACAGAGTAGATACCATCTACAATCACCATCAATTCATACATGAAAAGATCCTTAAAAAAAGGGAGGATATATCATTACCACACTTTTAGATTTCATGGAATGCATTGAAGTTGAAGAAGAAAGTGTGGAAAGCAACATAATTTTGCCAGGTAATCATAGTATAAACACCCCACAAGAAAAGTAAGGAGCTTCCACTATCATGTCATAAAACAAAACGTATTTCAATATCCAAAAAAGGACATAAGCTCAGACTAAAGAACATATTTCAGGTTGGTATAGATTTATGAAAACACGTTTAGATTTATGGTAAATCTACTATCTTAGCTTGTTTTATCATGTTTGGTTTCAGACCATAAAAATAAAATTTACTATCAAATTCAGGACAATGGGGAGAGGGGCTTTCAGCAAAATTAATAATGTTTTATGTCTTAAGCTAGGTGCAGAACATGGGTGCGACTGTTCACAACATTTGATTCATCTTAGAGCGTGAATAATTAAAATATATTTATTGATTTTTTTTATAGAGAGTGGAGGTGGGGAGAGAGAGAGAGAGAGAAGAACATCAACTTGTTCCATTGATTTATGCCTTCTTTGGTTGATTCTTGTATGTGCCCTGACCAGGATCAAACCCAAAACCTTGGTGTATTGGGGCGACACTCTAACCAACTGAGCTACCCAGCCAGGGTGAGTGTGAATAACTAATGTGAAAAGATCTTGCATCCTGGGCTGGTTTTAGGAAATCACTGACTTAGCGAATGCACCCACTTCAGGAAGAAATAACGGAGCCCCACCCGGGACTGCGTGCCTTGCCCACGCAGAGCGGCCAGGCCAGCGGCTGCCTGGCCTGCAGCTGCGTTCGGTTTCCACGCTGTGCAGACCATTCTCTCAGCGAGCATTGGTTTGCATTTTATCTTCTGTTCGAGTTAAAGTGGAATTATATACATTCAATTATTTCCACAGTCTCTAGAAAACACTTCTACAGAAAATGCAATAGTAAATGTTTGTCATATTTCAAATACAAAAAAGTCCCAAAGCATGTTAAATCAGAAACAGGTTTAGGTATAAAAATGCACTACCTATGTTTTTCCAGCTTTAAATTGACCCAAGGGGCTTTGAGTAGCACAGGGAGGTGATTCTATCCTTCATTTTCAAAGAAAACCGTCCTACCCAGGACTTGCGGGAACGCGGCCCCCAGACGAGTAATGTTTCGGTAGATGGCTTCTTTTTTAATTCTCGATCTCTGGCTGCCAGCATTCTTTCTTGTCTGTAGGGAGGTGGGGGTGCTAGGTGTGTCTGGGGATACATACCTCACAGCAAAGTGCAAAATGGCTGGGCCTGGTTTCTTGGGCAAATCATGGTCCAGAACCCGGTGATCTAACTGCAGCCAGTTCTGCTGACCTCTGTGAGAGCAAGGCGAAGACAAAGTATTAAACAGGAGCCAGAGGAAGGCTCAGGCGTCCACGCGTTGGCAAAGCCGTGGAGAAGCCGCTGCTCCAGGCACTGGTGGCAGGTGTCTCCCCTGGTGCACTGAGTAACGAGGGCATTTTAGCAATTTCTACCAAGGAGAGCAGCACCTGCCCCGGGTCAGCTTCTCCACTCCCAGGAGCTTGGGAAGATGAGCTTGCACAGTGGGACACGGTCTGCATATACAGTCACTCACTGTAGCGTCGTTGTAACAGTGACAAGTGGAACATGGTCTGCATGTACAGTCACTCCCTGTAGCATTGTTTGTAACGGTGACAAGTGGAACATGGTCTGCATGTACAGTCACTCCCTGTAGTGTTGTTTGTAACAGTGACAAGTGGAACATGGTCTGCATGTACAGTCACTCCCTGTAGTGTTGTTTGTAACAGTGACAAGTGGAACACGGTCTGCAAATACAGTCACTCCCTGTAGTGTTGTTTGTAACAGTGACAAGGCTTGAAACAACCAGAATGCCTAACAGGATATTGTTTCAAATGAACTTAACCTGAGCGGTAAAATACAATGTAGCCATACAAAAGATTGATACCATCTTTACAAACTCATTTTGAACAATATCCAAGATATGTTGTTAAATGAAAAGGCAAGATGCATACAGTTGAGCACAGTAAATCACCATTTTTAAAATTAAAACCCAGATATACATATAGGTGTGCATGTATATACATATCTCTGAGAAGATAAACAAGAAATAACACCAGGTGACATTAAGTATATTAATCTTTAAATTTTTATTAAATATAAAATCTGAAATATTTTAGATAGTCATGAAGAGGAAAACTTGATTATTTAATGAAACCAGACAGACAACTATACTATAGCCTTTCTTCAAAAATTTTTTAAAATTGATTTTTAGAGAGAGAGGAAGGGAGAGGGTGAGAGAGGAAACATCGATGTGAGAGTGAAACATCGATTGGCTGCCTCCTGCACGTGCCCCAACCAGGGATCGAGCCTACAACCTGGGCATGTGCCCAGAGGGGGAACTGACACAGCAACCTTTTGGTACATGGGGATGGCGCCCAACCAACTGAGCCACACCAGCCGGGACTACTGTAGCTTTTTAAATCTACAGGGTGACTACTCCCTGGGTGCTGCTTCTGCATGTAAGTATAACATCAACTTTCTAATATTTAAGCATATATAGGGTGGGCAAAAGGTCTACAGTTGTCCACATAGAAATGATACAATAAATATTAAATATTAAATAATAATACAAGAACAAACTCTGTTTCGCGTACTCACAGTTGTAAACCTACTTCCCCCTCCCCCCTCAAGTAAATATTTGTTTATTAAGGGCCTCACCAAGTTTATGGGTATAAATAGCTCCTCCCGACCTTTGACCTCCGAGCAAGGCAAGGACGGCCACACTGGCTCAGGACTGCTCCGTGACGGTCTCAGGGCTGCCTGACCAGGCGATCGTTTTGGGCTGTAAATTCCAAGAGGGCACAGACCCTGTTTTGCAGCTGACACAAACTTAAGAACATGCTGATAGTGAAGGCTGTCCAATGAGAACACAATCAAATCTATAATGGCCCAGAAGACATTTTCCAACCTATTCCGGTATTGAGTAAACAATTTTTTAAAAATCAGAAACTCTAAGCTGTACTTATTATAAATAGAGAGGAAAAGTGGGCATAAATAATATTAATATTAATAATTACAGCTCCTCTTCACTGAGCAGCTGCTCGGAGCCAGCCAGGCAGGAGCTTTTGTGTATGGATGTTCTAACAGTAACCCGGCAAGGAAAGCAGCAGAGCTGGGATTCCAACCCAGGACTTTCCATACAGGGAAGATGAGTCAGCTTTTATAATAACTTTTGGCTTAATCTGTCCCTTATAGTTTTAACAATGAAAAAAAATATTTTTGTTTCTGTAATTATAAAATAAGGCTTCTGATAACTGTTCCTAGCTTTCCTTGGAGGAATATTATGAAGATAAATAAACTGATATAAGTGATCTAGGAAAGGTTTTTAGAAGGACTGGTGTTGTCTGTAAAGATAATATAAAGATAGAGGACTGGAAGTTAAGGGTTTCTTACACTGTATTTTACCAAGTTTAGGATGGCACTAAATTAAAGTTATATCCCAATTTCAGAGGGGTTCAAATGTGTCATAAAGTATTGTGCAGTATCAGATCTCAAAAGTTTTCTTGTGAACATGAGACTCCCTTTGAATTGTCTTTTTTGCTTTTACATAGGAAAGACGGGGCATCATTAAAAAGCATAATGTAGTCCTGGCTGGTGCACTCAGTGGTTAGAGCATCAGCCCTCATGCCAAAGGGTCGCAGGCTTGATTCCCAATCAAGAGCATGTAGCTGGGTTTCAGGTTTAATCCCTGGTCCAATGGGGCGCGTGTGGGAGGCAACCAGTCAATATGTTTCACATCAATGTTTCTCTCTCTTTCTCTCTCCCCTTTCCTTCCACTCTCTAAAAATATCAATGGAAAAAATATCCTTCAGTGAGGATTAACAACAACAAAAAAGCATAATGTATATTTATATGAATTTGCATGGAATGATGTCCAAGAATGAATAAATCAATTATATTAACCACAGAAGCACACTCAAACACTATTAGATATGGATGAAACTTCTTGGATATAGTTCTGGAAAGATATAAAACACATTGCTACAATCAAAAGAGAATGGCTTCAACTATGATATTAAATGTTTTTATAAGAAGATATTCACGTAAATTTAATATAATTTTCTGAAGGATAAATTAGAAATTAGATTTAAAAAGTCCATCCATAATCTCACCAACAGGATAAACACAGAATAAGAAGTGAACTTTAGCCCTGGCTGGTTCTGCTCAGTGGATAGAGCGTCAGCCTGAGGACTGAAGGGTCCGGGGTTCGATTCAAGTCAAGGGTACATGCCTGGGTTGCAGGCTTGATCCCCAGTAGGGGGCGAGCAGGAGGCAGCCGATTGATGATTCTCTCATCCCTGATGTTTCTCTCTCTCTCCCTCTCCCTTCCTCTCTGAAATCAATAAAAATATATTTTAAAAAGTGAACTTTACACACACCCTTTCGCTGAGATATGCAAAGCTAACCAGCTATTACATAGTCTTCGAGGCTAACATGAGATCCAAAAGCTTATAACCTGCCTCTCTCAAGTTCTTCTGTCGGCGAACAGCAAATGCAGCAGAGGTAACCACGACCTCAGGACACCTGGGCCTGCACACTCCCTCTGCCACCCCCGGGGCCGGTTTCCTGCGGGGCTGGAACTGCACGGGCCAAAGGCCTGTCGGATGGGACGATGATCACGGCCAAGCCGTGCTGCGCTGTCTTCACGGAGAAAGCGCATTCCGAAAATCTTCCCAAACAAGGGAAGGAAATGCATGCGCCGCGTTAGGGGAGGCAGAGCCCTGCGAACGGAAGGTCGCGGCTGCCCTCTGGCGGCACAGGCTCGCCCTGCACCTGACCCCGCAGGGCCTGACTGGGGGAGGGGGGTGTCTCCGGAGCCCCACGCGCCCTCCCAGGGGGCCAGGGCTGGGTTTTGTTGGTCACGTCACTGCTGTTATCCTGGGGCTGCGCGGTTCCAGGCCCCCTTCCCTTCTCGCCTGGAGGAGGGCATGGGCATCAGCGAGTTTCAGGCAAGCGCCCCCTGCTTGGCCCCGTGGGGGTCTGCCCCCCGCTGCA